CAAAGTATTCACTATGGCATAAACCACCGGCATGGTCTTTTGAAACCTGTGGCCAAATAGCACATAGCCTTGGAGCCACCAACAGTAAATGTTCTGTTTTTGAATATGTTCACTGATATGAATTTGACTTTAGTTACCAAGCAACACAACCAGCATATTCTTCCTTTCATGTCTCATTGCCTGGTATCTATTACAAATCAAATTGTGATATTCAGAAAAACATATATTCTACACGCATAGGTACTTACACATTTTTTTAAGGGTGCAAGTGTGGGAATGAATATTATCCAGACCGTTTGTCAACACAGTCTTTTACACCACTGAATGCATGTGGAATGCTGCCATTCTCATTAACAAGAGGACATTCCCTACTGTCGTTGTATTCAGAGTTTGGTCTAGGAACACTTTCCGAGTGAGTGCTACTGAAACAATCGGTGTACCGGTCTAATCTCAACACTGCTGCGGAGCTTTGGATCCAGCCATATTTGGCGGACAGTCTCCCCTTGTGATGTGGCAGAGTGCAATAGCTCTGGTCGCTGTGGCACTTCATGGTTGCCAAAATCTGAGGGAAAGGTCATTTACTCTATAAAGCAGAAAGTGAGAGGAAAAACACTAAAGTGTCTGCAAGTGAAGTCACCTGAGTCATACTGAAATTATACATGCATTCGGTATAGTGTCTGCTGGCTAATAGTAGCTGTTAGCTTTATCTTTTTCTTTGTCATCTCTGCAGGAACATAACTTATCACCCTGCTTTCCCATACTCTGTCTAGACTGAAGATATTTAATTGTCCACTTTTGGCATGTATAGTGACTGCACAGAATGTGTGTTAAGATGCATTCTATGCTGAGCTGCACATATGTGAATAAACGAAGCTAAAACCAATATTATCAGACATAATATGATAAGCTCCAGCAGTCTTTTAAATAGCTGTGATTTCAGTCATTTCATGCTTATAAGATGTCCCAGATCACTGGGACATCATCATCTACCAGGTGATGCTCTTTTTCGCTTGAAGCAGGTAGTCAAAAGCAGGCAGCAGGAAAATGAAAAATGGATGACAGGAGAGTGCTACAGAAAAAAGAACACCCCAAACCCCCCCAAATCCTGGCAACAACACAGACACACTTCCAGATGTCACGCCACAAACTTATAAACTGTACTGTATGTTATTAACAGATGTCATGCATCCAAGAAAAGTGTGAATTAGACAAAATGTGCAATATTGAAAGCAATTTCTTTTCTTAACAGTTTTCAGTTACATCTCCATATTGTACCACATTCTTCAGTTTAGTGTGGTGGGTAATTAGTTTCTATAATTAAAGTGTAAATCTAATTTCATAATTCATCCATAAATGACTACATCTTCATTTATCTGGAAACAAACTTTGAGCATGTTTTTTTAAACAGACAAGACTCTTTGTTGTTTGTTAAATGCGTTCCTAAAGACAAATACAATTCTCCCTTTGTGATGCCAGTATAAAATACCAAGTGATAAAAGCTTTCGTTAAAGGCCTGTATGATCCCTTTACTGACTGTTGCTTCATTTTTAAATTTTTTTCTTTATTACTTTATTTCACATGTGCAGTAATATTGTGAATGGCTTTGTACAGAAATGACTAAATATGTCCACTGATCACACAGAGACACACACACACACACAGAGAGAGAGAGAGAGAGAGAGAAACTTGCATGAAGCAAAATTTCATCCTAAAAAGTGAAGTGAAGTGTTTTTTTTTCTGTGCCCTGCCTTGTTCAATCCAAGCCAAAGTGCTCGGCCCTCAGCTTGGCAACATGTGTCAGCCTATATTAGGTGGCCCAGTGAACAATGGTCTCAGCCAGGAGCAGGTGGTGGTTACTTGAAGCTCTGAGAGGAGGGTATGCATTAGTGGCAGTGTGTGTGTGTGAGGGGGTGGGAGTGGGGGGGGACTGGTCTATCTGCCATCTGGAGCACCCAGACAATCCCAGGTGAGGCAGAAACTTGAATGTGCTGTATCTATCAATCCACTGACTGGCCTCTCTCCTGGATCCAAAAGCTTAGAGAAGACCCTGCGGTTCCTTGCTGTGCCTCTAGTGATGGCACACACCAATTCGGAGAGTGTGAAATGAGCCATTACAAGGTGTGCAGCACCCCCTCTTAAAGTGGATTGGCCCAAAATGAGATCAGCAGACCAAGTCAAGTTTATTTATAGGACATCTTCCACAAACAGATTAAAATCTTTTAAGAAAAACAAAGGACACCATAACGTGTGTGTGTGTACTGTATAGTATATGTATATGTCCTGTACATGTAACGGAGATGGCAGGATAGGGGCAGTGTTTCTGAAAGTTCCAGTTTGCAGATGAAAAAATAAATGACGGCATACAGCTGAGGTTTTGGCTAATACTGAAAAAGTTCTAAATTTTAATTTTATACCATGTCATCATTTTCAAATCAGTACAAGTATGAATCACAAAAATGTCCACTCTTATAGTCCTTAAGGAAATTGAAAAAGTGAGGAGAAAATTACAGTACGACAAACAGCTGAGGTCTATGACTCAGACAAATAAACTAATCCAGGCTGGAGACTGACAAACATTAAGGGCCCTATTTTGAGGACCCACGGCATCTGATCAAGATGTACTGGCACGAGTGGTGTTTGGGTGTGTCCATGTTCAGTTTGGTAATTTGGTGATAAGGAAAAATGGTTCAGGCGCCCGTGCAAGTAGCAAAAGGGCTGTACTTGATCTCCTCATTAAAGCAGGGTTGTTTTGGACATAACATGCAATTATCCAATCAGTGTGTAACCTCACCTCCCCTTTAAGAGAAGCCTGGCAGAACTCGTAGTTTGGACTTGGTGGGACTTGTTAGGGTGTGTTCCCTGGCTCTTTGTGTAATAAAAGAGCAGCTCCCTCGAGTGCAGAAAAGGCAGTTTTGGTGTCCGGCTCCATCTTCTAACCCAGCTAGTGTTACATTATTTTAAATGATTTTCAATGTATTTATTTTTGTTCAGTCTGTTTTGGATCAATAGTAATTCCATAGACCTGTAGCTTGGCAGCTATGATGCCTAATAGGACCTTCATAGTGTGGAGAGGCAGGTTATTGGTCAGTGGTTGGATGGTGCTGTTCCCTTGAGGGGGTCTTTGCTGATCAGCACTGTCTTTCCTTGTGTTAGCCAGTCTGGGTGTGAGCCTGCTGCTAACACCTGGTTCCTCTGTGCTGCTAGGCATTTGTGCACTGCTGTTAGCTTTTTTTAAAAAGTAGGTGTGGATCATGTCTGGAGTGTTTGTTATGTCTTATCTTCCTCCCATGTGCTTGTCCAGTACTGTTTCTGCTGTCGGTGGCACTGTCATATGCAGGCCTGATTGGAATGACAAAGGATACTTTCTCTTTATAATCTCCTTTTATTTACAGTTTGTCCATGTAGCACAACACACCAGTTTGTGGCCCCTGCCCTCTCAGAATTGCTAAATGTACCTAACAGGAACAAATTATTCCCATATTTATGAGAGAATGTGTGTGCTGCCATTTGGCAAGAGGTCACAAGCCACGGTTATCAAATATTCAAATTCTGATCCTCAATCCAGCCTGCTTCTCATTTCTTGAAGATACTGTACAGAGTAGCCGCAGACAGAATAGACATCCAGACACTAACTGAAGCAAACATCACTCAGCCATAGACTGTACATCTTTCTTTCTACACTGCTGTCTCATCAACCCCTGGTACTGTGGAACCTGTTCTTTCTCTCTCTATTTCAGGCTTAACAGCTTTTTTGAAATGGCTGAACCCCCTCACCCCTACACCTACAGTGTATACCACCTTGTCCCATCACATCCCACTTCACCTCTCCACCCCGGTGATTGTCCTCTGCAAGACAATCTTCAAGGCTCAGGCAGTTGTCAACCTTAATGCTTCACAGCCCTCTAACCCGGATCATCACTGTGAACAGAGCAGCAAGCAATGAAACATATAAGTTACCCAGAACATATGGAAGACAGCTCACGCCCAGTAGCATGTCTGCATGTTCTTTTATCTCTCTTTTGAATTCTGAGCCCATTCAATCTGTACACTGCAAAAAATGATCAGCTTGTTTCTCAACTCATAAGCTGATCTGTCCACTTGAGCAGCATCCTAGAAATGTTTCCCACCACATTTCATCTACGGAAATCACGAGTGAAACTTGTTGTTTTGTGGTGACTAACTCAGAAACTTGACAGCAGCTTCTACATTTCTCTGTGTGCTGCAGATATTTTGGCTTTACTATTCAAATTTACTTATAATGAAGTGAAGTTTTTAAGAAGTGGTGTTTGTACAATCCTTTTCAACTCTCCACATCTCTGCAGGTTTTATTTTTGTGTGTGCTATACTGTTTATTCCTGAATTGGGTTGGGGGGGGGGGGGGGGTGCGGGGGCAACGCTGACACTAGGAGAGAGGCGAGGTACATCATGGACAGGTTGCCAGTCTATCACAGGGCTGACATGCAGACAAACAACCACACACACCCACACTCACTCCCACGGGCAAATTAGAGTCACCAGTCAACCTAAGCTGCATGTCTTTGGACTGTGGAAGGAAGCAGGAGAACCCGGAGAGAACCCATGCAGGCACAGGGAGAACATGCAAACTCCACACAGAAAGGCCCCAGGTTGTCCTGGGCTGTAACCCGGAACCTTCTTACTGTGAGGCAACAGTGCTAACCACCATGTCGCCCATCTTTACCTTTATATGTTTTAAATTGATTAATTTTTATTGTGTAAGAAAATAAATTCCATCAGTGTAAGTAATCCAGTTTTTTCCAATAACAGTTGGCTCTATTACTAATTTTTCAGGTATTTGTGTCATTATATTATTCTACTAGTAATTTAACTGCGTAACAGTCTAAAAACTAGTTGAAGTAAATACTTTTTGCAGTGGCTGACACGCTGCTGCTGCTGCTGCTGCCCCCACCATCACCACCACCACCACTTCCCATCCCACTTCGCTTAGTCTCGGGTCTTCGTGATTGGCTCACCTTTCATGTCCGTCAAAACTGTGTGGGCGGGACTCAAACAATCCACTCGTGTTCTCTGCACTGTGGAGAGTACGCCACAGCAGCTGGGCAAACAGAAGCTTCTACAGCAAAGGCTCTTATTTCTGGAGGACGACTACTCTCAGTCTCTGCGCCTGAGTGCTGTTGTTCAGAGTCCTGTATCCTGAAGCGCATCCCTGAAAATATCCAGAAAACAGTTTTTTTTAGGAGCGAGAGCGTTTCCGTTTTCAGAAGAAACACAATCTACGCGTCGTGAAATCAATTAACTCCTTTTCCCAGGGACACACAAAAGACGCACTCCCAAGTCCACCTGGATAGCTGGCAAAGCCGCCCGGTCCTTTTCGAGGTCCAGTGGGGACAGACCTTTAGGAGAGATTAGCGCGGAAGGCAAGAGCAAGACCAGAGAAGACAGGATGAATCTCAAGAGTCATTTGATTTTCACTCTCTACACTATTTACGGGATTCTTCTGAAAGGTGAGCTTGGGGCGAGTGGTGTCTACGTGCGCGTTTCTGGGTGCATGTTACAGACCAGAAGCAGGTCAGGATATTGAAGGGGCAGAACACGCGGTCACACTCGCGTCCAGGCGGAAAAACGCTAAACTCTCTCTAGGGTTTGTCATTCTCTTGTGTGTGTGTGTGTGTGTGTGTGTCTGTGCCTGCGCATGTGTGTACAGTACGTGCGTTGAATGTGCGTGCGTATGTCTGCAAACGTTCGTGATGTGAGCCAGCAAGAGGAGAGAGCTTGTCCCGTAACATGTGGGATCTCATGCATGTTAAATGTTAGGGATGGAGGGAATCCTGCTTCTGTTAATTGTAAAATCAGGACACGACCTGAGCACGTCCGTGCCACGGTGCGTCTCCCGCATTTACGGTCTCGTGCTGTGCCGCCAGGAAGACACACCTCACCACAAAATATCCAACCCCGCGGTTGGGTTTGACTTGCAGCACTTGGATGAGTCATGGAGACACTGGAAGCGTTTTACGCACCAGTTTGTTGTTGCTGATTACAGCAACATTAGAAGCTCGTACACGCAGAGCATTTCGACTCAAGTATAGTTTCATATTTTCTTTAATGATTTTGACTTGTGTTTCTTCTGTGCAGGTGAAGTGCCTGTGATCGGTGCGCATAGGCAGCTGTGCTGTGCGCCAGTATAACCTTTTAAAGGAGGCTATTATCAATATTAGAGTCGTATAAGCGCGGCACTGCGGGCCTGATTGGAATGACACGGTTTTCTGTTAAATTCTCACGTTTATTTTCCATCAGGATAGCTCATAAATATAATATCTTCCTCTCGGATTACTTTAAGCCACATTCATATTTACAAAATGGGATCGATTTGGCCACGGCTGAACTCAGCTCATACGAACATTATTCTGTTCTCGAGTGTAATGGTTTGATGATAAACAGATCACAGCGGTATTTCGGTGAAGGAGACTCTAAACACAAGAGTAAGGTGACTTTGGGGGTCAAGGTCGCGCTGAATTACGGGTGTTTGTTTGTGTTCCATAAGTACACGTTTAAGTGGAATTAAAATAAAGGCGATGTCACGTACATTTAAAATGAAAGTGCCTTTCCGAAATAGTGCCATCTTAAAGAATTTCATTTTATATATTCGTACATTTTAATCTATAAGTATGTTAAACAGATGTGTTTAACAACAGTAGAGCATATTGACAGAGTGTATAAGTATGGTTTATTACACTTAAAGGTGACATTAGAAAACTGCATGTGTTCATATGTCTCCTATTTTGAAGATGAACACTTCATGGAGAAGCTCAGTGCTGTCTTTGTTTCAGAATAGTTCCACTTTAAAAAAACACACAGTATGATGTCACATGACTACAAACCAGTATTCCACTTTATGTGTCTGAATTTGTGGACTCCTCCAGTCATGCTGTATATAACAGTGGCAAGGAGGGAGATGGATTTACTGTGAAACAAACTGTCAGGCTAAGCAGCAGAGCCACATATGCCACTCTGAGCTTCAGTTTTGTGGTATAAAGTCCACTTTATTCCCCTCACATCATATCAAGATCAGATTAACTTTGGATTGGATAACTAAGTTTATTCAAATGAAGAGGGAAAACAATTAGCAACATCTTGACTTTAAACGCAGTTTTACACCTGAGTAAAGGAGCAATCCCAAATGAGAGACATCATTTGTGCTTGATTCCCTTGATCGTTTGTTGTTGTCTCTTTGAAGTGTGTGTGTGTGTGTGTGTGTGTGTGTCTGTGTGGGCGCATATGACAGAAAGAGAGAGAGGGAGGGTGAAAGCGGTCCTTCCTTAATAACCAGACATGATTAAGGCCATTCTTGACTTTATGCATTTGTATGTAATGAGGTATCTTAGGGTATCTGATATATCTGACAGCTCGCACTTACTGACAGAGCCTTTCTTCTTTTCTGTATTCTTATAAGGGTGGCACACTCATTATGAGTGAGTATGTATTTGCATATATTCCTGCAAATTGGTGCACTGTTTATACTGTAAAGCTTATGTTTGAAGAGGCAGAGACGTGCACATGCCTGTAACAGCAGGGCTTAAGTTATGTGTGGCTTCCCACCACACGCACACTCACACCAGTCTCCCTCTGTCTCTTCCGCTCTCCCCCTAACCCTGAAGAGGATAATACTAGGCTGCTTGATTTCAACAGTCATCTCATGGTGCAAGACCTATTATTGTATAGGTTCCACACAGCAGGCAGGTCAGCCTCCTCCTGAATGAAGTCTATCAAGCTGAAGCCGTATCCGTACGCTCTGTAAATGACAGCTGTTTCAGCCCCTCTGTCCCAATGCCAGCTGGCATCAGAGATCTAGACACTGAATCTCTGTCACCGGCTAGACCTGCACGATATACTGTATAGTGCGAACGTGAAGTGTTGTGATGGAGGTTGTTGTTTACCAACAGGCTGAGTTGTTAACATATTATTCAGTGTGTCTCATGTGCCCATGCTGCAGCCAGAGAAAACAGGCTGTTATGCAAATGGGCCTCTTACGTAAGAGCTCGGGGCTGGGCAGCAGGCGAAGGGAGAGAGAGGCAGAGAGCAGCACAGAAAGAGGGAGACGTTCAAGAATAGAGGAGTTGATGTAAGAGTAATGTGGGAAGAGAGCTGTGGAGGAGGAATGAGCAGTTTTCTCATCTAAAGTGTGTGATATGTGCACTGGTGGTTGTTTGCTGTTTGGATGCCTGTTTATCTCTGTCGGTTTTCTGTCACTCTGCCTGCCTGCTAGTCTGTCTGTTTTTGAACTCTGATCTTACTAGCCTAAATACAAACCCCTGCTGAGGGATGTGTTTATCCCCACAGTGAGTCTTAGCTGCTGAAGGCTGACCCTCCATCCCTCTGTACTTCTGTCTATTCCTCCCTCGCTTTATCCTCCCATCCTGGTGTGGAGCTTTGTACCACAGCAGCGTGGGAAAGCTTCTGATAACAAGCAGCCTTGTGTGTGTGTGTGTTTGCAGAGTCACTGATTACACTGTTCTCTTTTTTTCTTGCTCACTTGCACTCTCCCTCCCTCTCCTGTGTGTTTGTTATGCATTCATTTTTATGGCTATGCTTTGATGGGTAGAACACGTGAGGTGGTCTGTGCCGTATACCAACGTCGTGCAACGCCAGTGCTGAGAATCCTCAGTCAGAGGAGCACTGGCTCTGTGTGCATCACACAGACACTCAGACACAGGCACATCGAGCTTCACAGTGCATTCATTGCTGGTCTGCCAAGGGATTTCCCATGATCAAAGCCAGTCTTTTGTTAGTCCAGGTGTTAAAAAAGTTAAAACAGAAAGGAGGAGGTGGCTCGTGGGGAACATGGTATGATTTGGAGTTTACATGCTGCTTCATGGCAGTGTAGAACTGCTCCAAAACATGTATCCTACTATGCCTACTCTTTCTTATATTAGTAAACGAATACATTTGTTGCAGGAATAGGAGGGTGCACCCACACTAAATGATGCAGCACTGACTGCAGTGATCAGTTATCATCGTTTTAATATGCCGTCAAGTAAAGGTGAAGATTTTATCAGCCAAATATTCCCTTTAAAACATATTGGTTGGGGAATCCTGTAAAAATATTATTATGGTCTAGTATTTGTTTGTCATAATGGCAACTTCAGAAACCACTGAGATAGAAAGTGTATGGCAAAAAGAGCAGTGTATACATTACTGTGGAGTATGTGCTCTTTGCTAAATATCCCTGAAAGCTACAGATTAATTGAGAGGCAAGATATGAAGTATGACATGAAGACTGTCTCCTGAGAATATGGTCCGATAATATGCCAGATGCTGAGGTTTCATATAGAACTTCCAAGCTTACTACATTTTTGTCGAGAGTAAGTGCAGAATAAATGCAGATTTTTATTTTTGCATCAAGGCCGGAGGTGTTTCATAGCTCTTAGGCAAAATGTCAGTTAAAGCCAGCCCATAGTGAATATAGGGAGAGATCAAATGCAGCCTCCCATGGAGAACAGTGTGAATACAGGCCCACAGGTGTATGCGGCTGCAGCAGCAGCAGACAGTGGCTTTGCACCCCGAGCAGGCCCCCCAGTAGGTGAAAGTATGCAAGCTCAGCTACCATATCAGCTGATGGGGCTTTTCTTCAAAGTTAACATGTAGCTATTTATGTGTGGCCGTCAGAATATGAACTAATGTGCATTTAACAATGTGAGCCTGAGACCATGAGCTGCCAGTAAAGAATGCCTTGTCAAATGCTCGAATACAGAAACAAATAAAACCCCTTTACAGTTAGAAAAGTATGCAGGAGGTTGCATGAGGTGTTCAATTTTGTAAACGATCTTGAAATATAAGTTTCTTCTGCCAAATGACTGATGGCACTAGACTGATGTGATGCATCATTCTAATAAAGAAACATGGGGATTGTTAGGATGGTCAATTTATCTGACAAACAAACATCCGGGATTTTTGCCTTCAGTTGTTTGCTTTAGACTTTAGCGGAATTAAACACAAGCCTGTACTTTATTTTGGGTAAGACGCAGACTGATCGTGTTATAGGGCACGGGCGTGTCTGTCTGCGTAGACGCGCTGATGCATATGTGATGTCTGTATTAGCGTTGCATTCCAAAGGATTAGTGAATGGCTAATCTGAAGCTCCAGTCTTTGACAAGCCATGTGTCACTAATCTCAAACACTCTGGAATAAAGGGAGACAAACACAATCACCTTTTGGATTAAAACTCATCCAGAGGGCGTTGTCATTTTTCACTTAAACTAGGAAAAGATAAAAAGGTTAAAAGAGAAATTAAGCATCAAAGTTAATGACATTTTTTGCCCCTCTCTCGCTGTAGGGATTTCTTTTCCACACAGATATATGCATACTTGCAAATAAATAAACAAATGAAGTTGGTTGATTTAACATGCACTTTCAGTTGAGCCTGATGCTCTCTACAGGGTCATGTATCCTCCCCTCTCTTAACAGCTCTTAGCCTTTGATTTTTTTTTTTTAACGTCATGTGCCCTTT